AAAAAAAAAAAAAGACAATTGGAAGCCAAGGACTTTCAGACACCTCTGTTTAATGTCTTGCTTCTGACTAGAAAGACATTCTATCATTAAGATGCTTTTGCAAATGCAGAATCTTATTCATCAGGAGTGGATTTTATAGTTTAAGCCTCAATCTTCTGATGCTAATTTTATAAAATGGGAAATAGCACAGACTGAAGTCTGAGTGTCATGGTTTATATCACATCTCTATCATTTACCAACTGAGTGACTTTGAGCATATTACTTAACATCTCCATGCTCCAGCTTCAAAATGTGTAAAACAGGTATAAAAACAACACTTGCATTAGATTGCAATGAGGATTAAATAAGTAAGCAATGCGCTGTACCCAGTAAGTGTTATATAAGCACTAAACAAAATACACTTTGGTTTCCAATAAACTTTTGCTAATAATTGATTATATGATAGTTTAAGCACACAGTGGAAATTGCTATAAACAGATTTATGTCTAATCTGTATCTGCACCTTTCCAGTGTAAACAAAAAGTGTACATAAAGCCTTGATTTTGTTTAAGGATCATTTATGGAGGGTATTAGCTAAGGTTTTTGGTGGCATGTAACAGAAATATTGGCTACTTTTAGTAATTTGATTTCAATTGCTATAACAAAAATATCTGAGGCTGGGTGCTTTACAAAGAAAAGAGGTTTATTAGGCTCACAGATTTGTAGGTTTGGGAGGATAACACTGACATTTGCTCAGCTCTGGTGAGGAACCCAGAGGCTACATTACATCATGGCAGATGGCACTGCAGTGGGAATGTGTACAACATGAAGATATTACAAGCAACAAAAATCCAGAGAGTGGGGATGATCCAGACTTGCTCTTTTATAACAGTCTCTCTTGTGAGAATTTAATGGGGTATCATGAGAACTACCTACTCCCTTCCAAGGACAGTTCCCTCAAAAGTCCCAGTCATGATGCACTAGGATTTACCTCATACAGGTTCTGCTACCTCCCAACATGATTACTCTGAGAACCAAGCTTCCAACACCTGAGCCCTTGGGCGGCACATTCAAACCATAGCCAAATCATAGCACTACCCTAAGCAAACCCAATGGAGGGCCCCTAGAATCAAGACTCAGAAAGGACAGAAATCAGGCATTTCTGAGGATCCTGAGTACAGCGGTCCAGGAAGGGTTCCAATGAGAATGACTCCAAGATTTTCCCTCTTGCATTACACCCCTAGAGATGTGAATCCTTGTTAGTCGAAATGACCTGGAGCCATGTGCCCACCTTTGGGGCTAGTGGTAGGCAGCAGATGTGGTATCTGCATGGCTGGTCCCAATGAGATTACAAGGCATGGTGGAGCAGGGAGAGATACAAAGGAAAAGCAGAATGCTGGCACCAAAACAAAACAAAAAACAGATGTGTTTGCAAGGCATATGGAAGCAGAAGCTGTCCACCATATGAAGAAAGAAGAAGGCAATGTTTTGCTATATATTGTTTATGTTTGCCCTGTAGGTCTTTCCAGAAATTTAAATATGTTTCTCTCTTCAGAGGGTACTTACACTCTGAGAGGCTGCCTCATCTTCCTGGAATTCATGCAAAATGAGCAAGAATCTGGCAATAATTATAAATGGTTTCTTTCTCTGGTCTAATGAAGCATATCTCTACTTGTTTGTGTTGCATTAATTTAAAAACTAATCACTGCCACACAACTTCATAATAGCAATAATTTCACATTCAGTCAAAACAATATTATTCTAAGCTTTTGGAATTCAGTACATGATAAGCATACAAAGGTGCCTCACATATTCATGAATCCTCGTTTCAGTTGGGTTACTTTTGGCCATAAATCACAGAACACCCAACTTGAAGTTGCCTAAGACAAATAAAAATGCATTTGTGCACATAACTGGATGATCAGATGTAGGACAGGCTTCGGAGAATTTAATCCAGTGGTTCCTGCTCCAGTATCAATAATTATCATGATGCATTCAGCTCTTGTTTTCTCTATGCTCTTCATCTTGGGCTGGAAGCAAGATGGACAGAATTTCCAGGGTTCTCCAGTACACAAAATGATATCTGGAGGAAAATGAGATTTGCTGTGTTTTTGTTTTGTTTTGTTTTTTGACATGCTGAGCATCAAACAGAGGCCTCAGATATGCTCAGCAAGCACTCTGCCACCAAATGAGCCTCATCCCCAGCTCAAAATTGTCTCTTTATACAGGTTTGAGGAATAAATTAGCTTTTCCTAGACCCTTCCTGCAAACTTTCGGCTCTCCTTATTGGCCCAGGTTGAGTCATGAGCTTAATCCTAAAATAACCTTGGTCAAAACTACACTATCTGCTAACTGGCTTAAGTCTGGGTTCTTGAACCAATTACTGACAAAGAGAATTATATTAATCATCTCCCCAAATCCCAGGCCACTAGACAGTAACAGAGAAGGAATGTACACTGAAAAGCAAATAGGGTAGGCACTGGTCACTTGGGACCCCAATATCAGAACCTCATTGCTGCCCCACCTCCAGGTTAAAGAAATTTAATATTGGGTGGATGATGGAGACTGCTCCACACTAATCATGTAAAAGACACTGAAAGCTTCCTGACCTGCCCTACAGCTGGGGCAGGGGCTTGTTACATGACCTCTCCAGATCACAATCAAGCTCTTCTCAGAACCCATGATGGAAAGAGCCAGGAACCATCTGGAAAACATACTTGATTGGCAGGTGGTGGCTGGTTTCCAAGGACAGCAGAGGCAATAGCAATGGGACAAGCTGGGCAGGGTTACCAGACCTAATGTCAAAAATATAGGAGTTAAATCCGCCTAAATCTGAATTTCATAATAACAAAAAAAAATTTAATTTGTAAGCTTAATTTGCCTCAAATATTCCATGGGACACATTTACACTAAGAAAAATCATCATTTGGAATTCCAATATAATTGTGTGTTATCCAACAACCTGATCCAACATCATGCAGTGTCCAGGGGCAGCAATGTTGAGTAGCAAAGGCGGGGTTGTGACATGCTCGCCATGCTGCCACCCATCTCTCTTCTGCTTGGTTTCCAAGACTAGCACCTGCATCATGACCAGAAATTCTGTGGGAATACCTCATACAGTGTAAGCTTCTTCTGCTTACAACCATGGACCCATACAAACTGCGATATCCATTACAGAAACTCGCTGAAGTGTTTCAAGTAAAGGAGTGAGGTGCTCAGCTTTACATTCTGTTGTGCGCAGAATGGATTATAAGGGAGCAAACACAGCAAAAGAGAAATGAGTTGTGAGGATATCACTGTGGTCCAGTTTAGCAAGGAGGTGGGTCTCAACTGGTGCAGCAGCAATGGACATGGAAATTAAGAAATATTGATGAGGTGAAAATATTTTTTCGGTGTACAATTAGCTTCATATATTGATAAGTTATATCTGTCTTGCTGAAATCCATTCTTCTACAGTATATATAGAATCTGTGTTTTTCACCCGGGCACTTGGTTACTTGGGATAAAGATTACACTTCCTAAACTCTGTTATAGCTAGCTACAGCCATATATCTAAATTCTAATCAATGACAGGGATGTGTACAACTCCTGGAACATATCTCTAAAGACAAAGGGAAGGCCTTACTTTTCCCTATCCCATCCTGATGCTTAGCACATTAGCTTTATGGGTAGAGCAATCTCTTGAACCAGGAGAATAAGGACCAGGCTCAATGATTTGTCCACTCCCTACCTACAAGTACATACTTTTGCATCAAGAGGTGCAATGTTTTTCCCCATCCCTTGAAACTAGACAATCTCGTACTCTGCTTTGGCTGGCAGATATGGCAGAAATGACACTGTGGGACGTACAAACCTCAAACTCCAGAGACCTGTTAGCTTCTTCCCTCACCCACTTCCAACACTACTCTGAGAACAGCCTTCCAAAAGCCTAGTCTAACTATGAGAGGATAAAAAGCCATGACTAGGAGACTCAAATGCTCCAGCCGACAGCCTGCATGAGTCACTCCAAAAACAAAATTAGACTCTTTCAAATTTAACTAGGTCATTTAAAAGTTGTCATCAGGCTTGGAAACGTTTTTTCAATTAATTAAGTTTACTGGTACATTTTAGGTATACATATATGATCACATTCATCATAGTGAATTTGTACCTGTACATGGTGTATCTCCATTTGTATTTTTTCCTATTCCCTCCCCTCCCTTCAACTCCTCTTCCCCTCTTTATTTACAAAGGCTTTGCTTCCATTATTCCTTCTTTTCTCATTTTTTTTCCTTTTGCTCTCTTCCTTTCCCCCACCTCTCCTCCCTAGTTCTCCTACACATTTGAACATGTTAAAGTGAATAAAAGCTAGCCAGGCGTGGTGGCTCATACCTGTAATCCCAGCACTCAGGAGGCTGAGGCAGGAGGATCGCTATGAGAGTTCAAGACCAGTCTGGGCTATATAGTGAGTTCCAGATCAGTCTCAACTACATAGTGAGACCCTGTCTCAAAAAACCAAAATAAATAAATAAAGTGAATAAAAGCTGTTATTTGCGGTTAAACATTTTTAAAAATCAAATAATAAAACAAATGAGGGCTAAATCAACATGAAAAATTTCCAAAGTGACTTTTTTTTTTTGGTCTTTGTTCCTTAAATACATTATTACCTTCAGAGCATTTATGCTTCTTGTCTATATTTGACTGCTGTCAGTCTTGATCAGTATAGAATGAAATCTATGATGGAAAACAACACTGTTGATGTAAGTATAATTAATTTAAGTAGTTCTAGATTTCATACAGTTGCTTTTTCAGAATACACCAGGGTGTTGGGGGGTGCTGAAGTTAAACTCAGGGATTTCACAACTTTCATTTAACCAAAAGTTCTTAATTTTGTACCTTAAAAGGTTGTTGACTCTTTGGTGTTTGTTTTGAGAGCTAGGGATCAAATCCAGAACCTCACACATGCCAGGCAAGTGCTCTGCCACTAAACTACATCCTCAACTCAAGTTTTACATTTTCTAGTCAGCATTTTTTCCATTACTTCTGTGTAGAGATTGCCCTTCCAAACCATCATTCATGAATTCTCAGAAATACTTTTATTGAGTCAATAAACTTATAACATGAATCAGGCTCTCTGTTTTCCTGGAGTAAATATAGCTCTTATCAGCAAAATAACAATGACTTCATACCTGATGAAAGTTACTTATGATTCATTTTTTTTTTTGCAGTGTTTTGTTCATTTTGAAATTGTGTTGTCTCTTCAGTTCCACTCTGCTGATAAAGATTCTTATTCAAGAACTGTGTTCCCCTACAAAGAGTTAGGATTAAAAAATAATAATCTATGCTTCACAAACACAGGCCAACTTACAATGGCAAACAGAAGCTAAAGGTCAATCTTATGACAATGTATTACACCTTAGTTTGTGCCAACTTAACTACGCCCTCAAATTTGCCATCAGGAAAAATTTTGAATGTACTAGTTCTAGAGCACTTAATTATTTCTTTGCAGTCAAGTGATTTCTAATTCCAGAAACCAGACATCCTGGACAACCATGATTTCCAATTGATCTTTTTACTTCGTTTATGTCTAAAAGATCCAATCATGGTGAAACTTATGAGATGAATTTCTTCTTAAAACTCACCTAGTCATACCTGTGCATAGCTGACTTGCTGATCAGGTGTTACTGAAAGATGTGGCACCTTACCACCCTTAAAGGACAGATCATCATTATTGGACAGTGAATACAGATAAGCAAGTTATCTCCCCATGATGCAAGCAGTGATTTCTCTGGGCTTTAGACCTGTTGTTAAGGGTACTGGGCAAAGATGTTCTTCCCATAACCATTCATGAATTTAAGCACAGATAAGGGCTTTCAAAGAATTATTTTAGAAACTGAATTCACTTCTATGGGAAAGAATTTTCTTTTTTTTTTTTTTCTTAATACTTTGCAAGGAAAGTCTATTTGCATTGGTGAAGCCAGGACATATATCTTTATCCCTACCCATTTTTTAAAGTTATTTTTATTGTATTCCAAAAGCTATACAATCCTCACCACTCATTCCAGAATATCTACAAAAACAAAAACCTCCTAATGGACCCAGAGTTGGTCATTGCCCATTCTCAATTTCCCCATCAGCCCCTGCAAATCACTGAGGTACTAACAGCCTGTAGTGTGCTTGTCTGGACCTTTTGTATAAAGGAATAATATACTATGTGGCCTTTTTGGTCTGGTCCTTCCACTCGGCATGTTTTCAAGGGTTATCCACATTGTGGCAAGTAACAGAAATGTATTCCATCTTATGACCAAATAATATTCCATCATACAGATATACCACCCTTTGTCTATCAGTGAATGGACCCTTAGGTTCTCTCTACATTTGGGCTATCAAGAACATTCCTATACAAGCTTTTGTGTGCATGTGTGTTGAGCTTGGTTGGTTGTATGCCTTGGCACAGAATGGCTAGATCGTATGATAACTTTGTTTAACTTACTGAGGAACTGTCAAAGTACCTTCCACATCTGCTGCACCATTTTTCATTCCCACCAGCAATGTATGAGGTTTCAAATTTGTCCATATCCTCACTTACACTTGTTATTTTCTTCCTGCCTTATTCTAGCAATTTTGGTAGGAATGAAATATTGCCTTATTGTAATTTTGCTTTGCATTTTCCTAATGGTTAATGACGTCGGTCATATTTTCATACACTTATTCACCACCTTATACATCTAGTGCGTCTTTGCAAAGAAGTTAGGGTAACTTTGGTAGGGTAACTAATTTGATTGAGTTTGTTTAACATCTATATCCTCTTTGAAAGCTACAACAGCTACAAGGGTTTTAAGCAGGACACAGAAATTGCCATTTCGCTAAGTAACTAATTTGATTGTATCTCACCTCAAAAAAAGTTTGTGTAGTGATACACAGGCTAATTTGCTTGATTTAGCCACCTCACAATGTGTGTGCATATGTACGTATGTATGTATGTGTGTATGTATGATGTGTATATACATCACATTGGGATGGTGGTGAATGCCTGTGATCCCAGCTACTTGGGAAGCTGACCCAGGAGGATTGCCAAGTTCAAGGCCATCCCGGACAACTTAGCAAGGCTCTACCTCAAAATAAAAAATAAAAGAGGCTGGGGATGTAGCTCAGTGCAAAGTCCCTGGGTTCAACCCCCGAGTGGTATAAAGTGAACAAGCAGAAACATTAAATGTATCTTTCAGGTAGCCATCCTCATAACTTGTGGGACCCCAAATTACAGTGTTGCCTGTTTCAACTTATTTCCTTTGTTGCCTTATAAATATATACTTGATGTCCTTAAGGATGGCTTCTATGCCTAAAAGTGATGATTCAGAGACTAGATGTTTTTTACTTTTTAAACCAGCTTTATTGGGCATACAGTTTATTTGCAAAATAAATAAAATACGATTTTAGAACATTTTTCCCTGATTTGGAGAAAATGCACAGACTCCTATGGCCACTGAAACACTTACCTATTCCCTTCTGTAATCCTCCAATCCTAACACCAGGAATTCCCTTTCTGTTGCTATAGACTTACCTACTCTAGAGCTCCATATAAATAGATTCTTACAATCTTTAACATCTAGTTTCTCCCATCCAGTATGCATCCGTGGTATTGTTAAATATGCTGAATAGTCTATTGTACAGAAATACTACATTTGCTGTTATTTCACTTGATGATATTTCAGTTGTGAGTTTGGAGCTTTATTATCAATAAAGCTGCTATGAAGTCATGTGCAATTCTTTGTGTGAATATATATATCTTTCTTCTGGTAAATACCTAAAAGTGGAATTATTGGGTCCTATAAGAAATGCATGTTTAACTTCATTTTAAAAAAAGAAAAAAGAATCTTACCAAATTGTTTTCCAAAGTGGTTATACAATTTCCAGTAACATGTGATTTATTTCCCGGTAATCCACAATAGCCAACATTTGGGGTTTTTCATTTTTTGTTTTTAATTCCTAATTCTAATGGGGTGCATAATGGTACCTCAAAGTGGTTTTACTTTCCCTGATGACCAATGATGCTAGGCATCTATCTGCTCATTGGCTTACTGGTCATTCATATATCTTCTTTTTAAAAATGTATTCGAATCTATTACCATGTTTTTAGTGGTCGGTTGCCTTATCATTGAGTTGTAGGAATTCTCTATGCATTCTGGGTTAAAGTTCTTTGTTAGACACATGTATGAAGTAAATGTTCTTCCAGTATGTGGCTTCCAGGGGTTTTTTGTTCTAGTAACTTATTTTACTTAGTTTTTTTTCTTTAGATGACAGTATCTCACCAGAACATACATGCATCCTTTCATAGCTCTCCAAGACTGTTCTCCATGACGTGTCTTATTTGGGGTTTTTTTGTTTTTGGGGGTTTTTTTTTGGTACTGGGGATTGAACTCAGGTCCTTGTGCTTGCAAGGCAGGTGGTGGAACCAATGAGCTAAATCCTGGTCCTATTATTGTTGTTGTTGCTGTTTTTTTTTTAAATACATATTTTTGGTGTATGGCATGATATCTTTCTCTCTCCAATACTGGGGATTGAACTAGTGAAGCACTGAGCCACATCCCTACCCCATTTTAATTTTGAGATAGAATCTTGCTAGGTTTCCCAGGCTGGCCTGGAACTCCTCCTGCATCAGCCTCCCAAGTAGCTGGGATTGCAGGTTTACATCACCATGCCCATCTGCAACATGATGTTTTGATATATATTATAAATGTTGTCACATATACATATGTGATACACATATTGTGGAATGGCTAAATCAAATTAACATATGCATCACCTCAAATACTTACCATTTTTTGAGGTTAAAATTAAACTTATTTTTTTCTTTATAGTTACTTCTGTGTCCTCCCTAAAAATACATATATATGCCTGCTCCAAAGTTGCAAAAATTATCTCCAATGTCTTCGAGCAGTACAGCAAATATTGAATCATTTTATTACATAATAAGAGAAAAGAGTCAAGTTTTACTTCACCTCTCTCTCTCCAAAAAAAGAATTTTTTCACCTCAGAGTCCATGATATTTTTGGAGGAGTCTGGAAGCAGGAAAGTCCTCACCTGACCTCCTGACCCTGGCATCCATGGAGAGTCATATGTCACACAATGGTATGAACTGAGGAGAGCAAAACTGTAAGGCAAAAGAAATATCTGAGAAGAGGCCAGGCATGGTGGCTCACACCCGTAATCCCAGCACCTAGGAGGCTGAGGCAGGAGGATCACTGTGAGTTTGAGGCCACCCTGGGCTACATAGTTGAGTTTAAGGCTGAACTAAACAGCCTGTCTCAAAAGGAAAAAAATATAAATTTACATATATATATATATCTGAGAAGGCTATAGTGGCAGTTACTGAAGCTGAGGGGCACAGTGAAAGTGTTTCAGGGGCAGAAAGGGGGATCCTTGGGACAGATTGGGAAGACAATAAGCAGTGGTGTAAAAGACAGGTTATTCACAGAGGTTATTATATAATCTGAAACTTACATTAAAACCCTTAGCATTAACTCTGAGACATATTTATATGTAAATTAGTTTTAAAATCCAAGTGGTATTTAAAATAATGTAATCTCTAAGGATGCATAAATTCCATAAGGCATGTTAGATATTTCTCATTAGTTAAAGGAAGAGTATTTATGATTTGTGGATGTGCTTGAAAACTGCACTGCCCCTTCCTCATCTTTGTGAGGGGTGTAAAGAATAAGTGAGGCTCTTCTGCTAGGAGCTGCCAGGAGCTGCCATCACTCCAGCACCAGGAGGGCCTGCTTGGGCCCTGACCCACCTCAGGAAGGATAGTCACTCCCTCTCCCACTAAGAGCCGCCATCACTCTAGTGCCAAGAGGGCCTGCTTGGGCCCCGATCCAACATGGAAAGGATAGCCATGCCCTCTCCTGCCAGGAGCCACCATCGCTCCAGTGCCAGGAAGGTAGCTGCGTGGGCGCCCCTGAACCCCCACAACTCCCCCAACACCCCCCCCCACGCACTCTCAGACCTCCTGATTGTGCCAGTCTTTGGACCACTCTGCAGAGGCAGAGGTGGTCATAAAGGGTATTTTTCTGAGCTCCTAACTTTGAACATCTTTAAAGAAAGGGCGTGGGAAACCTCTAGTAGAACGGTATGGAGTTCAACTGTTCAGAAGGTCAGGGAACTCAATCTGGCCTTGCAGCCTGAGGACAGTCTGTGTCGTGGGGTTCTGCCATCAGCTAGCTGAGATCAGGGGTCTTGGTTCTGCACATGGCTGCACATATTGCATATTATGACAGCAGAGATATAGTTTGAAAGAGGCCATTCAAATCCTTTTTTTTTCTTTCTTTTCCTCATTCCACTCTGCACATTCTTTCTTTTTCCTGTTCTCTTTCCCCAACTCATTCACTTTCTCCACCATATTATCTCTCATCTCCCTTTCTGTTTCTGCTCCTGCCCTAACTCATATTTCTTCTTTTATCATTTTTATATTTTCTTTATGTTCTTTTCTTCTGGCACTCTACCTCACACAGAGGTCAGTGGTTTCAAGGGAAAGTGAGCCCCTATTGCTCTTAAGGGGATATATTCTTGTTCTTGTACTTCTACTCTGTCTATCCCTTTCAAATTCAACAGTTTCCTGAATATTGTGTGGTCATTCTATGTCCTCTGGCTTCACTTGAAACCTTCTCCAATTCTTGTACTTATCCACTCCTCTCATCCTAGCTCTGTCTGAGCCCACATCCTAAATGGTAAATATACTATGTTTAAAAGTTTGTTCACTGCAGACATATTTTGGACTGCTTCTTGATTTCAATTTAATTCACATGGTTTAAGGGTGATAGACTAGTGACTACCACAAGTGGTCAGTTTCCAAGTTGTTCTTGATCATATTGTGTTGCTGATTGTATCAGTTGGGATAAAGCATTGCCGTTGATTTGATGAGCTGTTTTCTCTGATGTTATGAAGATGAGAATGTCTGTGGGTTGTTAGAAACCCAGAAGCTAGGGTGCAACTATATCAGGAAGATTTGGGTGATAACCCAGAGATTAAACCAAGGACAGCCGAGCAACAAAAATAAAAATGAGAAAACACTTAAGCAAGACACAAAGACAGACTTCCAGTTCACCAATGGCAAACAGTAGGGCAGATGAGAATGAAAAGGCCAATAGTGAACCACCAGGACACCCTGAACTCAAAGCACAGGAAGTAACAAAACAGATCAATCAGGCTCTAGAAAAATTCAAAACAGAAATAATTTCCCAGATAACCATAGAGATGGTGAGCAAAATGAAAGTCATGATTCGAGAGTTTAGAACAGAAACTGACAAAAAAATAGATGAGCTCAGGACCATGATAGAAGCCATGAAGGCCCAGCATAAGAAAGAAATGGAAACAATAAATGCCCAACATAGGAAAGAAACAGAATCCATAAAACAGATTCAAACAGATATCAAGGAGATTAAACACTCCATTGAAAGTGTATGCAACAGAATAAAAGAATGCAAAGATAGAATCTCAGATATAGAAGATAAGATTGCAGTCAGTGACCATGATAAGAGAGGTCTCTTAAAAACAGTAGGGGATCATGAGAAATCAATCCAACAACTCCTAGATGATGCAAAGAAGAATAACATAAGCCTGATAGGAATCCATGAAGTAGCAGGAGAAAATACAAATTACTTTAAAAAGCTGTTCACAGAATTAATGACAGAAAACTTCCCAAACAGAGGGGAAGAATTTGACATTCAGATAAGTGAGACATATAGGACCCCAACTAGCCACAATCAAAAAAAATTTACAACTAGTCATAATAATCAATATTCCAGAAACCCAACAGAAGAACAAAATACTACAAGCAGTAAGAGAAAAGAAACAAATCACATGCAAAGAAAGCCCATCAGAATCACAGCAGACTTTTCAACACAAACCCTTAGGGCAAGGAGAGCCTGGCGTGAGATATTTCAAGTACTAAAAGAGAACAACCTCCAACCTAGACTGATGTATCCTGCAAAATTCTCTTTCAAAATGGAAATAAGATACCTCCACAACAAAGAACACCTGAGAAACTACATAAATACCAAACCAGCACTACAAGTAATTCTAAACAATATCCAAGAAAAAGACAATGAAGGTAACAACACCATGAGGCCCAACAGAACAAATCAAATAGGCAAGGCAAAAAACTAAAAGGAGAAGGTGAAAAAGTAAAAAGAGTCAACAAAAGGCCAATAACATGACAATAATAAGTCAGTACATATCAGTTTTAACCATCAATGTCAATGGCCTCAACTCACCAATCAAGAGAAAGAAACTCGCAGAATGGATTAAGAAGCAAAATCCAACAATATGTTGTATACAAGAAACACACCTAGTGCAAAAAGAAGCCTATAGACTGAAAGTGAAAGGGTAGAAAACAATTCTCCATGCGACAGGAGCCCAGAAAAAAGCAGGGGTATCAATCTTATTCGCAGACAAATAAATTTCAAACCAAAACTGATTAAAAGAGACAAAGGCCACTACATCCTTGTAAAGGGAATGATTCAAGAGGAAGAGATGACAATCATAAACATATATGCACCAAATACTAATGCCCCCAACTATATAAAAGAAATATTAAGAAACGTGAAAAACCAAATAAGCACTAATACAATTGTAGGGGGGGAATCTAAATAACTCACTTTCACAAACAGACAGATCATCTATGCCAAAAGTCAGCAACAAAATACTAGAATTGAACAAAGCTTTTGAAAGCATGGACTTAATAGACGTTTATAGAGTGCTCCACCCCACAAAATCCGAATATACATTCTTTTCAGCTGCACATGGGTCATTCTCCAAGAGAGATCACATACTAGCTCACAGAACAGGTTTGAATTATACCCCAATACAACATACAGGAATCTATGGGACACAATGAAAGCAGTTCTACGTGGAAAATTCATAGCACTGAAGGCCCACACTAAGAAAACAGAGCGATATACAATAAACAACTTAATGATGAATCTTAGACTCCTAGAAAAACAAGAGCAAGAAAAACCCAAAGCTTGAACAAGAGAGGAAATTATAAAGATAAGAGCAGAAATCAATGCAATGGAAGGAATCTATGGGACACAATGAAAGCAGTTCTACGTGGAAAATTCATAGCACTGAAGGCCCACACTAAGAAAACAGAGCGATATACAATAAACAACTTAATGATGAATCTTAGACTCCTAGAAAAACAAGAGCAAGAAAAACCCAAAGCTTGAACAAGAGAGGAAATTATAAAGATAAGAGCAGAAATCAATGCAATGGAAACTAAGAAAACAATACAAAAAAATAAATGAATCGAAGAGTTGGTTTTTTGAAAGAATAAATAAAATTGATAAACAACACCCACCCACAAAGAGACTTGTGTTCCTAAGATTTTCAGAATTGGTTTGCCATAAATAAAACATTCTTCAGTACAGCATTTTGCACACTGACAATACTTATCAGACATCAGCTAGACCACAGTGAAGGGTAGGGACTCATATCAAAAGGATATGATACCAGCTGGTTTTGAGATGGCACACCTTACATTCTGCTCAGTAACAAGAAGGCACTGACAGAGGACTAAACTATAACTGAAAAATGTGGAGGCTTTCTCTGCACTGTCATCCACAGTGTGAAATGGGTCTCTAGAGTTTAAAAAACAAAAGGGCTCTTCATAAGCAGATGGGGGCTCTACAAAAGAGAATGTGTACAAGATCAAAGGAGGATTTGGAATATGCCAGTGACTTCTTCCTGGAATTAACTAGCATGAGTGTTTTTGGAGTGTTAGATATTTTACCATTTCATGGCAACCACGACTACAATGAAATAAGCTGTTTGAGTAATAAACAAAGAGTGAAGGCATCCCTGGTCCTTAACAGCAGTTTACACACAGCAGGTAATCAAAACATGCTGGTTAATGTGAAATAGGAAAAAAAGGGCTAAAGGTGTAGGGAAAGTGGGAAGGGTAGGAGAAAGGTAATAAGGGAAAGAAAAAAATTAGGAGAAAATGAAAAAACGGAAATAAAGTGTTTGTAAATGGGGAGAGGAGGAGGGGGTGAAGGGAGGGCAGGGACAAGGGGAAAAAATGAGAACCAAGACCTGTCATGTAAAGGTACAAGATCCCAGTAATGAATGTAACTGTATTGTATACCTAAAATGTACCAATAAACTCAATGAGAAAAAAAAAAGTATAAGTGAGCTTCTAGTCTAACTAGATAAAGTCTTGGACTAATTTCCTTGTCTGTAAAATGAGAAGAGCATTATCTGTCTCCTAAGGGACGCTGAGAGGAATGAATCACACCCAGCTCTGAGCCTGGCATTGCTGACGGACAGTTCAAATGTTTATTTGTTCCTTTTCTTCTATCACTTTCCTTATCACAGTACTATGAACTTATTTTATGTCAAATGTTCTCTTTTGTGTCCTCATCTCAACTCTCTTGCTAGTCTTTAAGCTTAACCACACTGGCCTCCCTTTGAAGATCCCAGGCCAAAGTTTATCAAATCTTGAGTGTACCTGATTGCCTGTGATGTTTTTAAACGCAGGTTCCAAGACTACCTCAAAAGAATGATTTCCCCATGCCTGTCTGGATATGGTCCAGGACTTGGCAGAATCATCCCACACCCCCAGCTAGGATGAATTAAGTGGTCCAAGAAATGTAGAAGCTGAGAAAAACTTGCTTCAAATGCACTGAGGTTGTATTTTCTTCAAAATGGGGGTAAAACCCAAAGACAGCTGACCTAGTTCTCCAGTCCTACATGGAGCCTCAGAATGAGCTGACCCAGAAACCTAAAGCAAGTTCATCACCTCTATTTTTTTCTGCTCTTCTTGACATGAAAAGTGTCCTTTTGCTCCACTACCGCCCATCTCCCCTTTTTCTGTAGCTCTCTGGATTTTCCCTACTCCTAATCCAATAGTTCAACCAAGGCTACCCCCAGAATGTCAGTGAAGGTCAGCCTCTGGGACACTTATAAGAACAAGGGTGATGGACACTCTTGATGTCCAACCTCAAGAACCTAAGCCGACAGATCTGTGGGCCACTCTCGGTAAGGTAAACAGCCTACCCAAGAATGAAACAGTCCAGATGGTGCTGTGTGACAGCTCTAGGTTCCTACAGCTCCTGGCAATATGAATTCCCAGTTCTTTCTTGGGTTAATGCTAGACCTCCTTTTAACTGAGAGTTTTGCTTAAAACATGGGGTCAATACCCCAAATGAAGGCCTTTACATCCTCCTCTCTCTCCTCCTTTTGCCGCTACACTTTGCACACAAAAAGATCTTCCCACTCTGGACTGTTGCAAACAACTACCCTGCACCTCCCTTTCATCATGGAATGTCACCTCCTTCCTACAACTGAAATCCTAGAGGGTCTCCCCTGTAGGCAGGGCCCTTACTTCTCAGGACAATGTCCAGCCCACTTCTCCGCCCTTTTTCTTTGAGACTCAAATTCCAGAGCTCATTGCTCATTACACCGCCCTGATTATTTAATTCATTTAGCGGGACTCCTGTTGTACAGCCTCCCCTTGCACCTTAGCTCTGCCATCGCCCCACGTCTCCCCTTCCTTTTTCAGGTCTGAGGCAGTCATAGTTCTTGTAGCACTCTCTACCCACTAGGGACAGTTCAAGAACTTTATACATGCTGTATTCGAGCTCACTCAATTATCTCCATTCTACAGATAAGGAAACTGAGGCTCAGGAAAGCTATTCAGGCTGGCCTAGAGTTACCCAACTAAGTACGAATGAGGATGATGCAGTCTAATTGCAGAGTCCTGATATGAACATACGTACTCTGATCTCTCAGTTCCTTGTTTTCTGTACTTCTAACATCCTCCACATCAAGTATTCTACGGACAGCCATGGGCAGTTTGCTAATCCATCCAAGAACACCTGGATGCAGCTTCAGCCAGAGATGCTCAGCTCTGAAAAAGCAGACCCAAGACCTTCCGTCCGGGGTTTCTGGGTCTCATTCCTCTCCTCTCCGGTTCCAGCTGCTGACAGGCCCTCTCAGCTACACCAAGCCAGCGAGTGTACCTTCTACAGCGCCCAGCCATCTAGCCCCCAACTCGCACAGACGCCCGGTATCACTACAAACTACTGCAGACGTCTGCTGGGATAGAAAAAACTCACAACCGTGTGTGCTGCTGACATCGTAAAGACAAGGCAGCCAAGGTAAGCAAGCCAAGCCCCTCACAGCACCAAGCAAGCCTAATCAGTACTCACAGCAGCTATAATTACAGTTTCAACAATTTATTGAATGATTACTCTGTAACCAAGCACGATCCTGATCACTTCACAAACAATCCCTCAAAACGCCGCCACAAAGAGATGGAGACCGTCATCATCCCAGTTTGCGAAAGGGAAAACTGAGACCCTGGGAGGGCAGGACCTGCCAAGGGTCACACCTGTCACTCCGTTGCGGAGCTCTCTCTGCCCGCACTTACATCTCACAAGCAGCTGTCTGGGTCTACAGCCCAGTCAGTCGCCCAGCCTTCTCGACTGCACTGCATTAAACTGCTGTGTCACTGGAGCAGCGAGCTCAGCACGAAGGTCAAAGGATAGGAGGAGGGAAGGCAGAAGAGAGCCGTCGGTAAAATCCGGAAAGGAGGTGAGGGCGTGCACAGAGTTACTTCCCAGTCACCGTTACTCAGCACTTCGCAAGGTGCTCGGTGCACTGTGCTGTGGAGCCGGGGCTAGGCCGGCCTTTCCGAGAAATCCCAGGTCTCAGGACTGTCCCCATCTCCAGCCTAGGCGTTTCCGACTTAAAGTCTGGCTGACTCATTCCCAAGTGGCCCTCTGGCTCTGGGTGGCCGTCCGCCTCTCACCACGGTGCGTGGCACTATTGCCCATAAGGGACCTCACGGGCCTCGCAGATCTTTCCCAACCGGTAACGGCAGGGCGGTGCCTAGGCTTTCTGGGCCGAGCGCGGGAGTAGGGAGAGTGTCCTCGGAGCTCCGCGCGGCGTCT